TAATGGCTTATAACAAACTAGATAAAAATAACCCAGAACCACCAGAGGCATCGCTATAAGGTCTCAGCATGGCCACGTTCCATATCACACAGGTAATTTTTGGGCACCAACTTGTCCTGCCTAAAGATGCCAGCGGTATCTACTGATTCAACTCAGGAAGTCTCTGAACACGATTTAACAGCCTGGCTTTGCGACAATATTGAACCCATTTTCAGGACCTCAAGAAGTGTACCAGGGCACAGCATGTCCAGAAGAGAACTTATGCACATATCTTCATATCTATACTTCAAAAGCCATTTCCCCCGGCTTTGTTGTGGAAAATACATTTCAATGCGAACAAAATTTAAAACTAAGATATGATAAAGAGTGTGTGAAGAGAGTACGGAGAAACGCATTGATTTATAAACCACACAACAAAAACATCAGATCGTGACACCAAATTGTTTTTATTAACTTTATTTTATTAACGTGGAGCAGGAGGTGAGTTATAAGACCACAATAACAGTTAAGAAGACAGTAAGATTTGTTAAGCAGAGTGTGTATAAAGTCAACTCTATCAAATAACTGCAAACAATATGGTGTGATGTGGATTCACATAATAAAATTGCACTGATTTTACATACTCACATGGTGTACAATAAATGTCTAACTGTTTAATGCTCAAATGTTTACTGTTCTGACCAAGATAGGAAGTCGCTTTGTTCAGAATATCTTTCAAACTCTAAGCTTGGTCTTCAAGACTCCAAACGTTCTCTACTAAATCCACGCTATTTGCAATAGACAGTAGGCCAATTAGAGGGGAATGAGCAGGAGGGAAATTTGGCCCGGACCTCAAGCTCAAAGGGGACCTCAAATGTAGATACTTATTATTTTTTTTTTTTGCATTTGTTAAGTTTTTGTTAGTTTTGCGACTTGTTTTATGGGTCCCCCAATCAGACCAAAATGTGACGCACAGTTTCAGCTTAGAGCTGCAAATTATATATATATATATAGAAATTAAATATTCAAATTACGTTTCACTTTTCTTTTGTGCAAATAATTTTTATTTTGTTTTCATGTGTCATCATATTTTTATTATAGCCAGGGGCCTCTAAGAGAGCGTGATAGGAAGTGATGTCAACAACAAATCATATCCACATGTTCGGGTCATCCCAAGGTTCGTTCTTAATATAGATTATAGTTGAAAATCTAGTTCAAAATAAATATGCCCAGAACGCCTGTACAAACAATTTGAAAAATCTGTTTCAATAAATAGTATTTATTTTTATGTTAAGGAAAGACTAATGTGGTGATATTTATATACCAAATAGTTACAGTTTTACTCAGTTTGTATGTTTCTATAACTCTTTGTACTTTTATGCAGGTTCTGTAATTCTTTGTTTCTTTTGCGTGCTCCTGAAACATGGTGTTTGGTTTACATAATGAATTTACAGGCTTCTTTAACACGCTGTATACATTTTTATAGCAGTTTATGTACATATTATAGATGTTTTCATACCATGGTCATATTTTATATATTGTATCCTGTCATTGGTGCAAATTTTCTAAAAAATAACAATAAATAAACAAAGAACTAATTTGACTTCTGTGTTCCTTAACATCCTGTACTTTCTTTAAATGTTTAGTGACAAATACATAACTGTGTTGATTTCCGTGTCTCTGTAACACCCCGGGCTTTGTGTAAATGTTTGTATAACAAACGCTGAACCTCATTTCTTATGTATTGTAACACCATTTTCCTGTTTTCGCGTTTGTAAGTTAGAACAATGTTTATAACGTATAAAAACAAACCACGCTTTAACTTTGTTGTTTAACTTTGCACCACATTTGCCTTGAACAGTGACAACCAATCAAAAAGACTTGATCACATGCTATATTGGCTCTTCCACCCGCTTCTATTCTTAACATCGTATATATCTGCGTTTCATTGTAGTTATAATGTGCTTATAAAGGGTTAATTTTTGAAAGAAATAAACGACTTACCTTTACCGTTTATTGAAATTAAAATATATCAACAATAATGTTGTCTTCATATAGTGAAATTATTACTTCCAGGAGGGTGTCGTAGCTTTGGTTTCAAACGTGGGGAGAAAGGGGGAAAGGGAAGCGAACGATTACTATATGCTGTGAAGAACAAATAATCTGACTTAACACTATTGCAGTTGAAATATGAATTAGACTGAAAAGAGTGGAGGGGACACGTCCCCCTGTAAGTTACGTTTATACTCCCTGGATCGTGTTCGCCTGTTCATTGCTGACAATATTTTAGTGAACTTGGTTTGTTGTTCTTCAGGTGTATGTGTATTTTCTTATAGCAAAGCAACATCAGGCTATCTGCTGTGTCCACCGAGGGGAATCGAACCCCTGATTTTAGCGTTGTAAATCCGAAGACTTTCCGCTGTCCCAGCGGGGGACATTCTTCAGGTCTCCAGTTAAAGTGTGAAACTGTTTAAAAGTACTTTGAAATATATTCGTATATATTTTTATTTAATTGAATCAGTTAAAAAAATATTTAATTTTATTTTGGTTTTTACAGACGAAATTCATTTTTGATACTTATGTTTGTTTGTTTGTAATTAAGCACAAAGCTACACAATGGGCTATCTGTACTCTGCCCACCACGGGTATCGAAACCCGGATTCTAGCGTTGTAAGTCCGCAGACATACCGCTGTGCCACTGGGGGGGGGGGGCTTGATACTTATGGTCTTGATGGATCATTTTTTGTTATGGTACAATTGTCAGAGGGCGTTATATTTACCAGAACGCAGGTTGAAGCATTTTGTAGTTGTATGGTCATACTAATTTAAAACCAATACGTACAATTGGTTGAATAACATAAGTTCTATGTTATAGCTTGAAACCTTTTACTTGTAAACTCGAGAAAAATAAATGAGAGGCAATCGAAAGTATAATACCTTGTTCAGTTTCGTGACCAGCATTTTGGTCTTCTAATAGACCAGGGAGGGTCAGGTACAAAAGACCTCTTCCTCCTTTCCGAGCTATGGTTTTGATACTGTTGAATGTTTATGTAGATACGACATGAGAGTCGGAGTAAAACGCACTTGCTTCGACCCCTTTCAGGGCAATGTCCATGGTGGTATCTTCATTTACATTCGTGTGGTATGCATAACATCACTTAATTCGGTGTTGTAAAGTATTACACTTAGCGAACAGTTCCATATATGCAGACAACACATTTCACACGTTTGAAACTAATATAATACATTTTACATAAAATACCATTTACATGTATTTGTTTTAGTCCAAACTAGTGTAGGGTTTAAAGTCTAGTAATAGGTGGCCTTATTAAATCACTATTTCTAAAATATATGTTTACAGGTGAGAGGTGCTTAGTAATTTAACTAAGTAATTTAGAGTATTATGTAAGAGTCTATCGGCTATAGTTTGTAGGTTTGCATGAATTTTGATGAAGTGCTACGGGGGACTTTATATGCTGTGGTAATAAGTGAGTTTTGTATAGATTGTAGTTTATTTATATGTTTGGAAGCTATGTTTATCCATGCGGGGCATGCATATTATATGATGGGACGTATATATGTTTGTATATTTTTATAATGTTGTCAGGTGATGTTCCATGGTTTTTGCCTGTTAGATTTCTTGCATAAATTGTACGTTTCCAGATTTTTGTTACTATATTATTCGTATCCCACGTTAGTTTTGGATCGAAAGTAAATCCTAAAAATTTTGCAGAGGTTGTGGTCTGGGGAAGTGTTCAATTCACGTACAGTTTAGGTGGGTCTTTTTTATGTTTTGTAAGTAATAGGTTTTTAGGAACGTTTATTTTTATTCGATATAGTTGGCAATATTCTTCTATATTATTTAATAATGGTTGTACATTTGTTGCTGCTATGGATGGGGTGGGAGTACTTTTCCAAACCGCAAAATCGTCCGTGAATTGTGATGCAAACCCATGATTAGGATATTTTAAAGGCATATTGCTCACATACACGATGAATAGAATAGGACTAACTACCCCTCCTTGGGGGACGCCTGCCTCTGGAGAATAAACCTTGTGACAAGTTGGGTTGGGTTGTTTTGAATTTCGCGCAAAGCTACACGAGGGCTATCTGCGCTAGCTATCCTTAATTTAGCAGTGATAGACTAAATGGAAGGCAGCTAGTCAACACCATCCACTGTCAACTCTTGGGCTACTCTTTTACCAACGAATAGTGGGATTGAGCGTCACATTATAATGCCTCCACGACTGAAAGGGCGAGCATGATCGGTGTGACGGGGTTTAAAACCCGCAACCCTCAGATTGCGAGTCGAGCGTCCTAACCACTAGGCAATGCCAGGGTCCTTTGATGAAACACGTACAAGATGAAAGTAGAAGCCGAGAGCTTCCTATTTGTGTTTATTACGTACTTTGTATTCATCTCACTTCGAGAGCACACAACGAACACGTGGAAGAGCACGTGCTTTTGTTTTTAAGCAGACGTGATCTGAAAAGTCTGTGGTTCTTGATTGGCTGACAACAAAAACAAAAAGTCTACACACGCTTTCATCATCACAAGAGCGATCTGAAGTAGAAATTCAAGGGTTTTTCGGAATAACGCCAGTGCGCGTTAAAGTCACGCGGGCGGTACAACGTTCGGATCAGAATGATTTTTAGCATATGTATATATAAGGTTTAAGACAACAATATTCTCTTTCAAAGTGAGACGTTCCTTCTTATCAGTGTTTAGCAAGGAAAAATGTATGGCCTTTAATGCAGAAGCTTACTCAATTTACGAGTGCACACCATTCATAATTCAAGAGACACTTATAACTGAACACATGCTTCATGATTGCATTGTAAGTTCTCTTGAAGTTACTGAAAGTATTTCCGCTGACGTTGAGCAAGTGAATTCTATCTTATTCATAAGAGGATTGGAATACAGGCGATAAGTATAAGGGCCAAACTTTCTCCGGTTACTTATCAATAAGCCTTCATTTTTGCAGAGTGTTTATATACACACATATATAAGTATCTGTGAGTTTCAACTTACTCTCTGATTTTTCATTTTTTACGTGCAATAATAATAATAATAATAATTGTACGATGCCGCAAGATGTTCAGAAGAATTTCAGTAACTTTTCTAGCAGTTGTTATTATTACCCCAGCACTGAAGGCGAAATGTTGCATTACGGACCTTCGGCTGTCGTATTACGTAATGGTGTCGTAATGCCCATTCTAGGGCTAGGTACTTCTCATAGCGGAGGATACTCTCATTCGGCAGTATTGCACGCTTTGAAAGACTGTGGATATCGTTTGATTGACACAGCAAAACGCTACGGTTTAGAGAGATACTTGAGCGAGGTTATAAAAGATAGTGAGGTCGATCGGGATGCCCTTTTTCTTAGCTCTAAACTATGGCCGAGCGATTATGGAGGTGTTTCTGCAAGACAAGCATTCTTCGGTTCTTTGCATAGACTTAACACTGAATACCTCGACCTGTTTATGCTCCATTGGCCTGAATGTCCCTCATCGTGCACAAACAAACGTCAGACCTTGGAGGACACCTGGAGAGCCTTAGAAATAATTTTTGATGAAGGATTTTGCAATGCCATCGGTGTCAGTAACTACGATGTTCATCATTTAGAGGATTTAATGGAAACATGTTCGGTCGTTCCTCACGTAAACCAGGTTGAATTCCATCCATTTCAGAATCCGAAAACTCTCCGAAATGTTTGTGCAGATCTTGGGATCCAAGTTCATGGTTACAGCCCGTTGGCGAAGGGTCAGATCCTAGATGAGAGAACCATTGTTGAGGTTGCAAGGCGAAACAACAAGACAGCAGCCCAGGTGCTGATTCGCTGGTCAATCCAAAACAATGTTGTTACAATTCCGAAGTCTACCAAAGAACACAGGATACGAGAAAACGCCAATGTCTTTGATTTTCAACTTTCATCGTCGGACATGGAACTTCTTGATAATCTTCATAATGGAAAGAAAGTGGTAAATACAGAGTCCATTCAGAAAAATATTGATCAGGGTCTTCCAGATGGTTATAAACTGAACTTTGTATATTTGCCAGAAAGGCTTAGGAATGAGCGAGCGCTGATGAACAATTACAAGTGTATCCATCAGAAAGTCTAATTTCTATTTATGTTTCTGAATGTTTTTTTTCAGTATGTTTTTATTCTTATTTACTATAGTGTTTGCAAAAATTATTATTGTTACATAATTCTCACAAAATTAAGATTTTTTTTAAAATGTTTCATTATAAATTTCTCTATGTCTAGCATATGTAATGTTGTATTAATTTTTTAAACCCTAAAATCGAGAATCGGTCGTATAGAAATTAATGGTTGTTTTGGTCATCACAATATTCGGCAAATGATAGAGGGCATTAAAACTGCCTTTCAACGATAAATATGTATGGACGCTTCCAGTGACACAGCGGTATGTCTGCGGACTTACAAAGCTAGAAACCGGGTTTCGATACCCATGGTGGGCAGAGCACAGATTGCACATTGTGTAGCTTTGTGCATAATTAAATTACAACTACATGTATGGAAGCTTTCGAACAATACAACTGTTGTGATCATCAATTCGGATAAAAAATGGGTACACCACGAGTATCAAACTTCAGACTTGCCGCTGAGCCACTGGGGGACCCTCTACTGAAAGAAATTCTCATTTATAAATGAATTTTTCCCCCCGTTTAAATCAAGATTTTGGTGACTTTTGCAAGGTAATTTAGCTATAGAAGACTTGTTTTTAGAGCTAATATACACTGAAAGTATGTCTGAAAGTCATCTCTGATAGTCTAGTTGCACGTGCAATGTTGAAAGTTATCCTGTTGAAGATAATTCGATCTGAAAAATAGGTCCGAAAACGTTACAATCCAATCAGAAGAGGACAAGAAACTGCTAAGTAGAAGGAAAGTAAGATACTTTGTTCTTCTTAGTGTAACCGCTTTCATTGTCTTAGATCATTCAGTAATTGATAGGTTTAGATATGACTGGTCATACCTTAACCAGCGAAAGTCATAAAAAAATAGTTAAAGAACATTTATTGTTGTTCCTACTTAGTGCTGTGTGTCCTAGACACCACGAACATGTTGGAAACCATTCTTATAGTGTACACAAGGTCTAAATGGATTGGCCCTGAGTAAAAGAGCCTTGAATAGACTTTTCATGAACATCAAAAAAATTTTGGGAATTTCATTGCGTTTTTCATTTAGAAGGAAGAGCTCGAACCCTAAACTTATGCAAAGTAATATATGAGAAGTTGGTATAGCGGATTGTCTCTTGTTCAAATTTGCCACCAAAACATTGCAATTTCTGTTTGGCCAACTCTCAGTTTTAGAGTTATAAAGATAAAAGAAAATTTCGAATATAAATGTGAGACGAATTATATATTTCTTTGAAGTATTCGCATGACTGCAAATTTTTGATTTGATTTTGTTTTACTCTTGTCTGTCTTCTATTAAATGATTATCGTACACGATTAATATTTATGAAAACATGGTATTTTTCTCATTTGAAATAATAATTTTGTTTGTTGTTGAATATTGCGCAAAGCTACACAAGAATTATCGTTAGCCGTCTCTAATTTAGCAGTGACTGATTAGAAGGTTAGCAGCTAGTAAGCCACACCTATCAACTCTTAGGCTACTCTAATCGATAGTGGGATTGACTATAACATTATAACGCCCCCACAGAATGCTTGGTGTTGAGAGGAGAACTCATGATCCGCAGGTTGTGAATCGAGCGCCCCTAACCATCAAGCCATGCCAGTCCTGAAACACTTAAACCAATAGTGTTATTATATAATGCTTCATAATATTAACAATTTCTAATGTTCCTAGTATTAATAATGTTTTATTGATGATTGATTGTAAATTGCTTTATTGATGGCATATGTAATTCAAAGTTCTATTAATTTAAAAAAAGTTAAAAAGCACACAAACTTCCGAGTATAAATGCGAAACAAATTGATGGTTTCTGGGTTATTCGCATGTCATTTAATTTGTGATTTTTTATCCTCGAACTGTTTTCTAAGAAATGTTTATTGTACATCCCTATTATTTTAACGATATTACCCCTATTTGAAGGAAGCATACCTAGTACTGATTTATTCATTTTCTAATTTAATACTTTGTTTGTTTGACATTAAGCACAAAAACTGCACAGTGGGTTATCTGTGTTGTGCACATCTGAACTTTAGCAATTATAATTGATTTTCCGGGAGCAGTACCATTTGATTACAATCATCTATTTAAATCAAGAATAAAACTCACTGGTCATGTTATTATGACATCATTGTTTTGAATTTTTTAACATCGTTTATTATTTGAAAGGACAACTTTTTATTATGGTTATTTTCTCAGTTATTAAGTTAAAATAAAAATTAAATGCATTATTGATAATGTCGCTGCAAATTACTAAATCTTTTTGTTTGTTTGTTTGTTTGTAATTAAGCACCAAGCGACACAATGGGCTATCTGTGCTCTGCCCACTACGGGTATCGAAATCCGGTTTCTACCATTATGCCAGTTTTGTGTTGGTGTAATGAAAAATTTATTGGTGAAGATTATGTCATCAAATCATGCAATGTTGAAACAGGTTTCGATGAAACATAAACTTAACAATTGTTTTTGGAAAATTTAAATAGAAATAAGATGTGAAAGTGGTAGTCTTAAGGGCTTACAAACGCAAAAATTCAGGGTTTGATCCCTGTGGTGGACATAGCTCGGATAGCTCAAAGTATGTCTGTAATCTTGAAACAAATAAATGTTTTTGAAATAACAGAGCAAATTGCTAACCTGTAAATAATATCAAAGTTTTTATAAGTGATTTTAATAAAAGTCAAAATTTATTTTTTCTGACTTGATACCGTTTCTCTAGGTTACGCCTGGCCGAATGACTTGTGTGCCGGATCGCGAATCGGAAGGTCCAAGGTTTGCACTGCGATGCCACAGAAAACGCTCTAAATCTTCAAATGTGGGAATATTATAAATATAACAATTGGTTTTCTTATTTCATTCAAAACCAGACAAGGGGTTCTGCTGATTGGTTAACTTTTCCTTGGACAGTAGTTCTAAATTAGAGGTTTGTGACCTGGCAGTTTAGTCTATGTGTCACATAAGATGATGCTTATTAATCTAATAGTTCAAATTCAATTTATAATAATGCTCTCCTTCGAAAGAAAAACATTGTTAATCAGATCACTAATACATGATTGTCAGAGCTGTTGTTGGAATCTCTGAAAAAAAAAGTGAAACTTTTATATTACACTAAAAATAAACATTGTTAATTCACCTGAGTAAATACACAAGAGGAAGGCTATACAATAGCCACGAACTTCTGTATTCTCTGAGACTATGTTTTGCATATTTATTGCAATTCTTAGTAAAAATGAAAGAAAATCTAGTTTTTAATGATTCGGATGTAAGAATCTTGTACAAACCATTTGTGTTTTTATCGCATACATGAGACCACTTAGACTAAAATATATAGTAAGCTGTTTGGCATTTAATGTAGAAATTAGCTAATTATGGAGCAATATAGGTCCGCTTTTTAAAAAATATGTTTAGTGATAATCTGATAGTATAAATCGTACCTGAATACCATGCGTTAAAAACAGAATTGATAAAATTGCCAGAGTTTGTTAAAAAATACGTATTTGTTCTCGTTTATCACGTGTGCAATAGCTTTTCAGGCTACAGACAGAAAACAATATCTTTGTACTGAAGCTCTGTCATAACTTTGTTCAAATAGAAAAATAAAGTCTCTAGTGAACGAGTAATAATCATTATATTTCAAGAACAAATAGCACGTTCAAATTTTTGCTATTAAGATGGTTTTCTCATCAAATTATGAATGTTATATAAAAACTTCATCTTTCTGTTAAGATGAAATATTAATTTCTTGCATATATTAGAGCACACGATTAAAGTTTTCAAGAAACTTTTAACTAGATCTTTCATTAAAAAGTTTATAGCTCTATTTTTATATTTTGAATATTTGAGTGTGTTTGAGCAGGATATTAAAGAGGATTGAGTACGTTATATTAAAATGAAATTGAATATACAAATCTTCAAGTCACAAGACAAACACAGCTAACATAAAGTTGCCATGGAACAGCATGTATCAAAACTAAATTTTGACAGTGTTTGGCTTTGGGTATAGGTAGTGTGATGGTTCAAAATTGATCGCTTTTGGGAAGGGTACTTAACAGTCCTTTCGACGCAAAATATTAGTTCACTCTGATCATAAAGATGTGTTTAGATCGTGAATTTTATAATTTTCAAGACGGAGATACCCCTTGTACTTAATGGCATTGAAAAACAAAAAAATATGGATGAACTTGAGTCACAAGGACCATCCGAAAAAAGAGACCTACAATAAATTGTACCCCAGCTGTGGTAAGCAATGTACAGCATCTTGTAACAGGTGAGACACCTTGAGCACAAAGGTCAATAGCAAAAGCTGTCTACGTACCTCACACAACGTACGCAATATAATCAATAAGGATCTCTGTATGAAAAAACGACACAAGTTGTTTCCATAGCATATCCAGGAAAGGAAGATTTTGTTTATTTGTTTGTTTGTTTTGAATTAAGCACAAAGCTACACAATGGGCTATCTGTGCTCTGCCCACCACGGGTATCGAAACCCGGATTCTTGCGTTGTAAGTCCGCAGACATACCGCTGTACTACTGGGAGGCGGAAGGGAAGATCAACCGTAGAAAAGTGTAAGAACGATAAGGAAGATGGACTTTGTTTACTATGAGACCAATGTTCAGTAACCTTTATACTACACACAAATGCCGGTTTTGGACAGAAAGGGCCAAAGAGTATGGGTTTACTAAGATAAAGTTCCAATCATATTTCCCGTTCAACCGTTACATCTTCCAAGCAGCTGGAGCATGAAACTGGTACTCATGTTATTCTATACGAAAACATAACAATCAAGTCATCTATTGATTTCCCTGCGATCGGAGTGTTCATACGGACGTTGGGAAACCATCTTCCTCGTATACTAGATGGATTATGGAAAGTGCGCAGGGAAGAGCGATGTACTTTAGAGACTTAGAGTGGAGCCTTTTGCAATGAAAACTACACTTCAGGGCTAGTGTCAGAATGCAAGGTCATAAAATAGAGTATGATCGGATTTGGTAACATGGACTATAAAGAGTAGTGAAGCTCCAAAATCTTTCTAATATAATATATTCAGCCCTCTGTAGAACACAAACATTGATGAAATTATGTATCTTACATTAATTATGACGCCATACAGTTGCATTCAATGGGGGGGGGGGGGAAATGCGTTATTGACGTACTTAAAATCATCAAGAAAACATACAGGTCTACAATATATCTGAAACTATTAAAAAATATTATACCACTAGTCGTCTTTACCAGGTGTTGCCCGGGTATTACCTGAACAGAGGGCCAATGTTTAGGTATTTTTAAACATAAAGGATCAAAATTTCACTTTTCATGTAACAATACGTGAAATATGCATAAAGATTCTAATACTGAAAAAAAGACATACTGTTTTCAAGCATTCTGTGAATATGGAATTAGTACGAACAAGCATTTAAATATAATAATTTCCACCAATAATATGAATTCTAACATTTTTATGCGTGGTTTCTTTTAAACCTCTTGTTAAAAAACTGATATTGTTTTACATTATTGACGGAAATAGTAATATGAATTCTAACACTTTTATGCGAGGTTTCTTTTAAAAAATATAAAACAATAACAGTTTTGTAACAACAGGTTTTTAAAAACGTTGTACAGAATAAAATCTAAACTCTTGTTCAGCCCTCTACTTAATTAGTATAATTGATCGCTCTCTCAGCTAGCCAAACTACTCAACTTACTTTTTATTTTAAAATCAAAGACAATATTTAGAAACTTACATAAACACGGTATCTATGTGGTTTCGATGTACAATTAAACCTTTAATTTTACAATGTATTATTTTGAAGTATGAAAAATTCCGTTATTTTTATCTACATAACACATATAATTGTATTTTACTTATGTTTATTATATCGAAGCAATCACTTTATATGTTACACTAGCTGGAGTACCCGACCCCTGGACAGAAGTTATGTAAATTCACGATTAATGAAAGGTTATCTTAGGACTTGAAAAGTTGCGTCCCTTATATGTAATTGTCAAAAACACAAAAACGCCCATACAAACTGCAAAACACAAAGTGCAAAACTGAAAATTTGCATGTATCTCCCCATAGATCCCAACAAACCTTCATGTCAAATTTGGTGAAGATCCATCAATAGGGGACGAAATAGTGGTAAAAAACGCGAAAACGCCCATAAAAACAACAAAACGCAAAACTGAAAATTTGTTTGTATCTTTCCATGGGCCCAATGAACCTCCATGATGAAGATCCATCCACACCCTGCGAAGAAGTTACATGCACATAGAACAGACAGTATTATTATATTTATATAGAACTGAAACTAAGCGAAAGGTTCTAATTCTACAATTGAGAATATATCAAGCAGATAAACATACTATACAAAATAGCCTAATGGTTGTAATTATTTGCTGATACTCCTCTCGGAACGTAATTTATAATACTATCCTAGTGAGGCTACTATGCATAAGAGGAGGTTTGTTTGTTTTTTTTGTAGTGCAAAGCCACACAATGGCTTTGTCCACCGTAGGTAATCGAGCCTTCAGTTTTAGATTTATAAGTTTGTAAAATTAACGCTGACTCACCGGTAAAACATTAAAGCAGGAACACATTTTCTTCATTTGCTTGTCGGACGAAACCCCACATCTCATGCCCAGTTCATAATTAATGATGTCCTAAAAGTGCCCTGATATCACTTCATAATTTGTGCAGCAGCCAAAGATATGTTGAAGTTTGTTGAAACTCTAGTTTAGCACTAGAACTTATACCATTACGATACCCTAAGAAAAGTACCATTTCTTAGAATTACTGTTGAGAGCAGCAAATGTTATTAGCGTATACTTGATGTCATTGAAATTCCGTTGTTTATACTTTTACTGAAATCGAGTGAGTGAGAACGGAAATTCCGAAGAAATATCATACACATAAAAATTAGTAAACGTGAAAATTTAAATATCTTTATCAATTCACTTGGGGTATATTTCATACACAAATATATGTATACATGAGAGATATATATTTAATATATATGTCCACTCGTTGCTGAAATCAATGTACTCGTTATCTCCTGTAGTATTTACTAGCTTGTTCGTTTTCAAAAGGTCATCGTATTTTGTCTTCCATTAATCCTTTTATTGACTCTTTATTTCGTATTCATGCATGCTTACATTACAAATCTTCTTGTCTTGAATTAAACTTTGATAGAGTTATGAAGCATAATTTGATACTTCGAACTGTATATAATATCGTAATTAAAACAAATGTTCAAATTTGTCAGTGTATAACTTGGGACTTGATTGTTCAGTTATTTATAAACGAAATGTAGGAGTTAATGGGAAACATTTTAATACACAAATGAGTAATTTGGAATGTATATTTTATGGATCCTTAACTATGACAAAGAACTTAACACACATATACACGAAAACAAATAGCACGTTAACTTGTGGTGAAGTTAGAAAATAAACTCCCTAAAAATAAAACTTCGAAATAAAATCATAAACAAATAAAAAAACAATTGTTCACTTGGTTTTCAGCATCTCAAGTAACGCATGGGCTAAATGATCAGCTCAAGGATCACAAGGAACAAGCAAAGCCATCCTTAATTTACAGTTGCAGACCAGCGTGAGGACAAACAACACCTGCCGCTTATGCATCTGTTCTTAACCTAATCGCGAGATTGATTATTACAGTTATTACACTCCCACAGTTGAAAGTACAGAGCGTGTTCAACAGTATATCGCGGGTCGACCTTTGGGTCTGTCGATCCGCAGCTCGGCAGACTAACCATTGAGTCACGCCTGAAAGTACAGAGCGTGTTCAACAGTATATCGCGGGTCGACCTTTGGGTCTGTCGATCCGCAGCTCGGCAGACTAACCATTGAGTCACGCCGGTTCCTTATTTTCCCACTGTTTAAATTACTTACTCAGCACTTTATTGTTTGCATAACACAAAATATGCTACGATGAAACATTCAACAACAAAAAACATCTAACAGAGAAACGTTATAGGTACTAGCAGAAACGCCCGCCCTCCGGGCAGTTATAACTGCTAGTTTCTGCGGCATTTTCTGGAATTGTCTGACAGTTCTACGACAATGTACTCGTACTTGACATTCAATAATGTTCACCATCCATGAGAAAAAGGATTTTATTGAAATTTTAGTTTAAATATGAACTATCATCACAGCATTACATCACAGAGTATATTTTATTGAATTATTTCTTTGTAGACGCAGTTTTCAATGAAAGTGCCTTGCTTTTCTATTGCGACACTCATGAGATTTTCACAAAAGAAAAACAAATAATTTGTTAAAGTTTTTTTTTGATTGTTTTATATTTCAAATTTAAATCTGAAACATATCATTTTTGTGGAAATTTCAATGGTTTTATTTATTGCTCAGCCATAAAAATACTGTCTAGTTATAAAAATATTACCCAGTTTGCCCCTGAAGAAGAAAGGCTTTTATTCATTTCTATCAAGACATTTTGAACCTACGTGTTTTTCTAACGTCAAAAATATTACCCAGTTATGACTGGTGATGATCGGTGCGGTAGTTTCCGAGATCCGAGTTTTGGACGTAAAAGACAGTGGAAAACTTTACTAAGTGATGTAATGCTATTATTCCCAACAGACTTGAACAATGCAGGTGCAAGGCTGGGGAATTATTTATATCAGGCAATGTGGGACTTGTCTTGATATATTCTTATAACTTTGATATGCTCTTATGGGTTCATTGATTGTTAGAAAGCTAATCGCCAAGAGCAGGAAATTGGAGAGTTATAATATATTTCTTAAGTTATTTTATTGTTGTAAGGCTTCCTCTGGAACTTTTAAGGAAATTGAATAAAAACAAGGTAAAAAAAAAACTGTTTAAATAACTTTGCGAAAGATCAGTAACAAAGTTTAAGAAGGCACAATAATTTTGTGTGCGTCCACTGACATAGATCATGCATGTGAACTAACGTAGCTTAATAAACAAAACTAAATAATATTAGTACGTAATATTTCTTTACTTGCACCCAAAATACTCGCATGGCTAACGATAATATTGATTACAAGATGCCACACGATTAACTAATTTGTTGATCATTTACAATATACAAAAATAGCAGAATTTGAGAAAAGTTAACTTTCAAAATTACTGTTTTTCAAATGATTTCCGTAAATATAGTGAAATTGATAATATACTTTCTCTACCAGTTTTAAGGGTTGTTGTAAATTCACTCTGGGAATAATTTCGAATAACAGAAACATAAAGCAACTATCGTAGAATTAGATAGTGTTTCCCACAATTTCATAGTTGCTTTTGTTATTAAGAATTATATTTTATAATCTTCTAATAGCTAACTTTGTAAAATGTGAGGTAAAGTGTGTTTAAGATTTGTTGTTTTTATGAACTACTTTCTAGTTTAGAATATTCGGTTATATCACTCATAAACATTTTCAACAAATTTTGTAGTTGTGTCTAATTTTATCAATAACAGTATTTTATCTTGTTACAATAATGTAGCGTGGCATTATTAGAAACATTACACGACCAATATTTTTCTAATGTACTCTTCATGATAATTTACGTAATTTAGTTGATATCATCTTGTCAATACATACACACACACACATATATATATACGTTAAACTACTTTAGGTATCTCAACGAAAATTAACTCAACTCTGAAGAGAAACAAAACAACTTTTGCATATTTACGTATAAATAAAAATTTGAAACGCTATGTTACAACAGCGGAAGTCACGTGACGCTAAGAACATGCGCGCTGGAGTTTCTAGAAGGATCATGAAGGTCCGAGTGCATT